CTCTTTTAGAATGTCAACTCCTGAACTCGTGAGACTCAGACTCAAGACCACTTATGTTACAGAAATCTATTAATATAAATATATATACAATATATATAACAATGAATTTTACCTAAATCATGTGTGATGGCTTAAAATTCCTGTACTTCCTGTTCCTTGTGTTCAGAACTTGGTTCCCATGATGATTTGTGCATCATCTTCTGCCTTAAAAGTTTCTTCTGGATTTTCTCTCGGTGTTTCCGTCTCAGGTTTTCGGGCACATTGTGGTATACAAACCCCTCAAGAAGAAAATGAGTGCAATAACAGAAAAATATGCTCCGTAGACTGTAAACTGGAAGACAAGTAACAAGAACAGTCTAAATACATGTTCTGGATCCAATACAAATTTAGCATATGTGTCGTGCTGGCGATGACCGTAGAAGATCATTTTGACCTATATGGAAGGTGTCAGGTAACCTCACCTGTGTGACAATATCCACCCCAAGCCCACTGCTATCCACCACCACGGAGGTGATGATTGTCTGGAGGACCAGTGCACAGAAGGTGTTGGCTCCGAACACAAGGGCGTAGTGCTCCATGTTCAACCCAGCTGCTATCTGGAACCTATGAAACAAGGGCATGGATGTACTCATGCATTCATTGACTAATTGGAGAGATGATATTAATGTATATGTATTTTTCTTTCTGCTGCTTTATTAAATGTCAGGAAATTGTGATTTCCATGCCTGGAAAAGTTATTGTAATTAATAAAAATATCTATAATATATTTTTCTAGTTGTGCTCAGTTCTAAAAGATGACATTGGCTAAAGTTGTTTTGTGCAAATCTCTTTAAATGACTATTTAAAACCCTAATCTGTAATGATGAGTGACTGGAAAAATCATGGAAATTCATTCGGTCTGGGGACCCTGTGATGAGTAACGCAGTGAATGAAAATATTATATATTATTAAATATTAGAAAATGTATTTAATTGTAATTTCCAGGCCTGGGAATGTCTTGAAAAGTAAGAACATTTTAGTATCATAGATAATATAGACACTATTACAATTTTAATTTTAAATAGAGTCGTTAAATCTGGCAGTACTGATTAAAGTAGTGTTTATATTAAGTGCAGCGCTGCTTTGTTCACAGAAGCGCCACCTGCTGTCAGAGAGTGAATTTGCATTTTCATTCAGCCCATCTGCTGTTTTTGTTTCGTGCAGATATATTTTATGTAGCATAATTTCACAAAGCTGAGGTCAGATCATTATGTTTTAGCTTCAGGTTTTGAAATGATTTTATCTAGTTTATTAAATCAAAAACTGCTCATGTAGGATCTTTGTTTGGATTGTGATTAAAATGCAGTGATTGCCTCTCATTTCAAATGGCTACAGATAAAGGCTAGTTTGGCCTGTAATAGAGCAAATAAATCTTGTTCATGTACTAATATTTTCATTCTATCTTGTCTCTTGCTTAAAAAAAGTCAAATAAATATTAATAAAATCGGCCCATTTTCATCGTAAAAATCGGCAATCAGAATCGATTCATTAAATCAATCAAAAATACATGCTAATGTTTTATTTATTAGCATTAATAAAAACTTGTTTAATTTAATTTATTTTAAAGTAGTTTTTTTTTTTTGCTGTGATTCTGAAATTGATTAATGTATAATTAAGAGCTCATATTAAAGAGCAGATTTTATATTTAAGTCATGGCCAAACTGTATCTCTTTTAAGGATATCTGGAGAGAGGGAATAATTTTAGGGTGTGATCCTTGTCTTTTATTGCCACTGTAATTAAATTAAAAATGTCCTGGAAAATGATTCCTGAAAAAGAGTGAAAACATATATACAGGTGCATCTCAATAAATTAGAATGTCGTGGAAAAGTTCATTTTTTTCAGTAATTCAACTCAAATTGTGAAACTCGTGTATTAAATTAATTCAATGCACAAAGACTGAAGTAGTTTAAGTCTTTGGTTCTTTTAATTGTGATGATTTTGGCTCACATTTCACAAAAACCCACCAATTCACTATCTCAACCAATTAGAATACTTCATAAGACCAATAAAAAAAACATTTTTAGTGAATTGTTGGCCTTCTGGAAAGTATGTTCATTTACTGTACATGTACTCAATACTTGGTTGGGCCTCCTTTTGCATGAATTACTGCATCAGTGCGGCGTGGCATGGAGGTGATCAGTTTGTGGCACTGCTCAGGTGTAATGATAGCCCAGGTTGCTTTGATAGCGGCCTTCAGCTCATCTGCATTGTTGGGTCTGGTGTCTCTCATCTTCCTCTTGACAATACCCCATAGATTCTCTATGGGGTTCAGGTTAGGTGAGTTTGCTGGCCAATCAAGCACAGTAACACCATGGTCATTGAACCAGCTTTTGGCAGTGTGGGCAGGTGCCAAATCCTTCTGGAAAATGAAATCAGCATCTTCAAAAAGCTGGTCAGCAGAAGGAAGCATGAAGTGCTCTAAAATTTCCTGGTAGATGGCTGCGTTGACTGTGGACTTCAGAAAACACAGCTTTCAGAATTTTAGATGAATTCTAGCATGTCACATTGATGATACTATTTAAAGTGTCATGTCAACTTGCCAAATATACGTAGCTGTTTAAATATTATCTGTCTTCTGCATATTTTATAACAGTATAATATTTTTTATTGCACAAATCTAACACAATATTACAACAACCGACAGCCATAAAAGGTTATGCTTTCTCTGTAATAAATCTGTAATTTTTGTGCACAAGTCAGTGGGTTCAAACCACCACTGACTTTTATTGTATGGACAAGAAAAAAGAAAAAAAAAACACTGAGACATCTTTTTTTAAAATATCTTTGTATATAAAATTCTACAGGTTTGTGTGAGTAAATGATGACAGAATTGTAATTTTTGGTGCACTGTTCCTTTAAGAGCTGCTCAGATTATATGACATTGATTTCTGAGTCATGACGAGTTAGATTCTGAAATCCAAAGACATTAGGTTAATAATTACACTTTTTAAAAGGTTACTATACCTGCTCAATGGTTAGGATCTTGTCTGGTCCTGTTAGGAATGGGATGAGAAATGGTTCTAAAGGCTTCACTGTGCTGAAGAACCCATAGATGCATAACAGAGAAGTTCCCTCATCCAACGATTGAGAGTCTCCATCTTCATAGATTCTGTGTCTATGTCCTTAGGTTGGATGATACAGTAAATTTATCAGACTGAACACTACAATAATATAATCTGTACGTTATTGTCATAAGAGCACTATCTTTGCATGCACTATTTACCTTTGCAGGTGTGTGAGATCTGTTTTCATGGAAGTACTGTTCCTGTCTTGAGATAATCACCACTTACTCTGAGGGTGAGAGTCTCTCTCTCTCTCTCTCTCTCTCTCTCTGTGTGTGTGTGTGTGTGTGTGTGTGTGTGTGTGTGTGTGTGTGTGTGTGTGTGTGTGTGTGTGTGTCTGGATATGCTGTAAATGAGCAATCAGTGAGCAAAGTTCTGCTTAGATTATTCTGATTACTCCATTCTGACCAATACTGTCATTCACCAGATAATCAAACCTTAATTATTTATTTAATACTATGCATTGTTTATTTCTTTAATTCTTTCTATAATTAATATGTGTTTAAGATTCACTGCTCTGACAAACCTTTTGCATCTGTGTCCAGACCTGACTCATGTAGGGTTAACACGTTACTCCAGCAGAAGCAATCAAAGCCTGAAACAGGTGTATCAGAGCGCTGCAAGGGATGTAAGACAGGCCACCGCTCACCTCAACAACTCTCAGACAGGCATCATCAACGCATCCCACAGCATTAGACTCATACTGGAGGACCTGAAGTCAGTGTCTGAGAAGATCGACATCATTACCAGCTGTCATCTGCTGCCGGACATCACCATGCCAAACCCGCTGTCTGAACAATGCTAATGCACGATGCTGCATGTATATAAAATGACAAATGTTGTGAAATATTATTGCTAAATATGGGCCTGTTGTTGGCCTGTTGAAGGTCCAGTATTAGCCACAGCCTGGATGCATTTTTATGAATTTCTTGTGTGCTACATATCAATAATATTTGACCAACATGGTCATCATTATCAGTTATTATCAATTAATAACATGAAAATTAGTTTGCAGTTGAGTTATTTGTTGAATGCACTAATGAGGTAATAGACAATAAATTATGCAAGTTAAAAAAAATTGTAAACGTGTCCAATTTGTAAACCAAATTAAATTTTAATTTGTTTTCTCTTTAACATATTTGTTTACATTTAATTCAGTGTATAAAAAAAAATGTAAATTTTAGGGGATGAAACTAGTCACCATTTCTTTTCATTTTCTTTAATTTTTTCCCCAGTTAATTTACATAGTCATGTGGTTAATAAATGTAATAAATACTATTTTAATAATATTATTATTATTGAAATAATAAAATAGATAATACAGGTCCTAAAACGGAATATAGCAATACATTCTGTATTGCTATATTCCGTGTTAGGACCTGTATTATCTATTTTATATATATATATATATATATAGGTTGAAATAGATATCAATATATTAAGGAAAGTGTATTTGTTTTAGGGAATGTTACTAGTTACCATGTCTTGCAATTTTTCTTTTAATTTATCTTTTGCAGTTCACTTACAAAGTCCTGTTGTATGATTTTA